ATATATATATATATATATGAAAAATTGTTATAAACCATTTGTGATTCCTCAACTGCTTTATTTCTAGTAGTCTTCTCATTTTGGGGTCAAGCTGACTTCTAAACCGTCAGGAAGAGAAAGAACGGAAGGCAAAAAGGCCGCAGAATCCATCATTTGAGCACATTTGTTGATCAAATCCAATCCAATCACAGGGGAACAGCTAGGAATAATTTAAAATTTGCACCATGTGAGTCGTTCTTCAAATGAACATAATTTCGCATAGGTATTCAAATAAAACACTTGGAGTACACGAGACGCAGATTTCAACTGAGTACGACTGATTATTGACAGAGAATCCTTCTGGCTCCACAGTTCACTTTCTTCCTATGAAGAAGCAGCCAAGCTTTATGTATTCCCCCAGAAATCTTTGCATTTGCAGTTGCACTAGCCAGTTGTCAAGTTTGTCGGCTGCTGACGCTTTTTGAAAATCACTCAAGAAACAAACTGAAGCAGCCAAGCGACAAACATACTCGATTATGCATCATCAAATTTACCATCAGAATAGATCATATACGACAATGGTTTCTCACATCGTTTTATTCAAAGTTCAGAGCTGAAGTATTTGTTGCACGCCGTACCAAATTGTGCTTTTCCGGTATGAGTTAAACTAATGAAAAGTATGAAAGATCTTTGAAAAATCAAGCTCTCAAAGCCGTACAACAATGAGTGCAGTACAGGATTATGCCATTACTCACTATGCGAGTTTTCCATTAAAGATGTATACATCTAGACCATGTGAAAATATAAATAAAGACGCGCATCAGCGATGCCAGTGCATCGCGTTGACTGGTTCCTAAGCTGAAAAATTTCCCAATAAAAACTTCATTTACCGCACATAAAATGTAAACGTATATGAAAGGTAAATATGAAACTTTTGGATCGCACATGGACGAGAGACATCCTCCCAAAATTTTAGCTTCCAAGTTTTTTCTGATTTCCGAGTAACTTTTGCGCCAAACTTTCACATGACCTTACATGAGATCTAAACATATGTGGGAAATAAATTCGTGTTTGTGAGGTTTCTGCGTTAAGCCAAAAAAAAAATCCTCCTGAAGTCTCAGCCTCCTGGCTGTTATGGTCCCCTAGTCAACAAATTTTCCTGTACGGGTTTTCATGTGATCATACGTGGGAGCAAGGCGCACGTGAAAGCTAAATTTGAAGTTGAGAGGTCGCACGTGGTTAGAGATAATCCCGCCAAAATTTCAGCTTCTTAGCTTTTGCGGTTCCAAAGACAGTAATTTTTCCTGCCAAAACTTTCGTGGATGGTACATGAAATTTTCCGATCACATGTGCGCTTGAAACATCCACCCTTAGCTTCAGTTTCCTAGCTTCTGCTGTTCCTGAGTTTAAAATTGAGGAAAAAGTGCGTTCAGACACAAGCGCACATACATACACAGACGGAATCGCGACAGTTTGCGTTTTATGCAGCTGTTATACAGCCCAAAACGCATAAAAAGGCCAAAGTTATGCAGCGCGGCTTCAACAACCTAGTACCGTAACCAAAAGGGGAGAAGAAGAGCAGTGTGCAAGCAGAGTGAGATCTTAGAGTGCGCATCGTATTCCTCCTTTTCTTCTGTAAAAAAAGAAAGAATACGGATAAACCCTTGTTTATTAAATCATCAGAAATACTGATAATTTACGTCTCGACTGGTGACACAAATTTCTAAAACTGTACACTCCCAACAAAACTGTTAACAGTGTCCCTCCGGCTCAAAAATGCCTCTCCCTGTGAGAAGAAATCTTAGCCACACCAATGTCGTTTACGAACAAGCATGAAAATAGAAAATGCGTAAAAATTCCAAAAAGACCTAAATCTTGAACTCACAACTGACTTTCCAGTAATTCATATCATTTCAAATAATGAAGGACGGACTGCACATTGAGGAGGAAACGACTGACTACAAGCAGTAGGGTGAGCGAACAGGAAAGCTGTTAATCGATGCATAAAAACCAACCTAATAAAAGAAGTTTGATGATCCGCAGTGACATCGACTGATCCTTTTTGATTTGCTCATCAATCCGCCGATTCAGTTTCTTCTGGTCTTTCTGGTCGCGCGAGGCGCAATGCCCCATGGCGACAACTGCGCGCTACAGTCCGATTTCAGCAGTTGCAGTGGATGCAGCAAAATATAGCTGCAAACTGCTGGTACGTAAAGCACTACTGGCGCAAGAAACTGACTGTGGGCGCCTAACAAGTACGATTTGGATAGCGGTTAAAAATTCCATTAGGACTTAGCAGATGATGATACATCACAAACTTATATGTATAAGTGTGACAAGGGCGGAAAAAGAGAACAAGGCGATTGAAGCCAGCTGAGTGAGTAGAATCCAAGAACATCGAGGAACGCCCAGCAGACTGTGAAACATTTTGTCTCAGCTATTGATTGGTGCTTCGTTTTTAGCTAACATATTTTGTAAAGTCTTGCTATTCTGGGTTTTACGGAAATTCGTGTTTTTCAAAAAGAAAAAAAAGCAAGTGAATGTATGTGTACCGCCGTGGTAACAAGCCGAAAAATTACATCAGAACTACGATGCGAGCAGTGGCAGTTTGTCAGATGCTGGAGCTAACAGTGTCTGTTCTTCAGATTACTGACGCAGCCGTAGCCGTGCTGGGATGGTGCGTATCCGGCTTACTTGTACTCCTCGTTTTGGTGTTACGGCCTGCGCGATCGCTCCGGGAAGAGTGTTCGTGCTAGCCGTTACGCAGTTGCACAAAACTTTGAACAGACGGGACGAGAAGTACTGGAATGGACTGGCACAAATGGATCCGCATCGCTGACGAGATTTCTGCCAGCGTCTCTCCACTAGCCTTAGCGTGGCTACAGCCTGGTGCATCGACCCTACCACCTCAAGCTACTAATACAGCAGGCATCCTAGAATGCTGCTACTGCCGCTGCTTGATAAGACATAAAAAGCCTCAGTGCTAGCTGTTCCTTCCGAAGCGTATGTGTATGTGTTTGAGTGTTTGTGTGTATGTGTGTGTGTGTGTGTGTGTGTGTGTGTGTGTG